ATTATTTGGTGGGAAAGGGCCAAATGTAATGACTGCTTTGATCTATTGAAATGTATTAAAGTAAGAGTATAAAACAGAGAATATTTTGTGATTTTGGTCACCCCATATTTTGTCAGCTCAGAAAAGCTGTTTTAATTGTTTTGATCATGAAGATGACCTCAATAAATGTTTGAATTCGTTAAATTGAGGATGCAAGTTAAGCTCAAAAGCTGTATAGATAACATCTAACGCTCTTGTTTTGGGTTTTTACATTGAGAAACATTTTGGATCATAATGATGCTTTTATTCCTTCTCATTAGTTTAAATATTTGTTTTAATACAGAACATTTTCAGTTATGGTCCAATTGAGTGTGAAATGGACAGAATACATTCTTCTGATTGACTTCCACAGCCTAACTCCTTTGAGAGGGGGTTTTCTCTTCATTAATGTTAACATTTTGGTCGCTTAATACCAGTTCTGGTTCCAAAAAACCAAGACGATGATGGCTAAAAACAAAAGATGGCAACCAACAAAAGGCTCCAAATCCAACGAGTGAGGTCCATTTCTTTATATAAAGCCTATGACTGACACATAGGTAGAGAACCACTTTTCTGCAGGTTTCTCTTTGCTCTGATTTGCAGAGGTGGAAGTAGTGGAGTACATTTATATAGCACTTTTCAACACAAGGCAATTCAAAGTGCTTTACAACAAACGAAAGACATTAAGAAAATGGCATTTAAAATCAGTCATTAAAAAGAAAAGATAATAAAATAAACATTAAAAGAAAAAGTACATGGATAAAAGTTACAGTGCAGTTTAAGATATGAATAGTTCAATTAAAAGCAGCGGCAAAAAGAAAAGTCTTCAGCCTGGATTTAAAAGTAGTCAGAGTTGCAGCGGACCTGCAGGTTTCTGGGAGTTTGTTCCAGATATTTGGAGCATAATAACTGAACGCTGCTTCTCCATGTTTAGTTCTGACTCTGGGGACAGAAAGCTGACCAGTCCCTGAAGACCTGAGAGATCTGGATGGTTCATCATTTAGCAGGAGGTCAGAAATGTATTTTGGGCCTAAACCATTCAGTGCTTTATAAACCAGCAGCAGTATTTTGAAATCTATTCTTTGACACACAGGAAGCCAGTGTAAAGACTTCAGAACAGGAGTGATGTGATCCACTTTCTTAGTGTTAGTGAGGACTCGAGCAGCGGCGTTCTGAATCAGCTGCAGCTTCCTAATAGATTTTTTAGTGAGACCTGTGAAGACACCATTGCAGTAGTCGAGTCTACTGAAGATAAAAGCATGGACAAGTTTTTCCAGATCCTGCTGTGACATTAGTCTTTTAATCCTAGATATATTCTTTAGGTGATAGTAGGCTGATTTAGTAACTGTTTTAATGTGACTGTTGAAACTCAGGTCAGAGTCCATGACTACACCTAGATTTCTGGCTTTATCTGTTGTTTTGAACATTGCAGACTGAAGCTCAGCGCTAACTTTTATACGTTCTGCCTTGGCTCCAAAAACCATTACCTCAGTTTTATCTTTGTTTAATTGGAGAAAGTTCTGACACATCCAGTCATTGATTTGTTCAATGCACTTACTCAGTGTTTGAATTGGAGCATAGTCTCCTGGTGAAATTGTTACGTAAATGTGTGTGTCATCTGCATAGCTATGGTAACTTATTTTGTTGTTTTTCATTATCTGAGCCAGTGGTAGCATGTAGACGTTAAAGAGAAGAGGCCCCAAGATGGAGCCTTGAGGAACCCCACATGTCATATTTGTCAACTCAGATGTGTATTTACCTATAGACACAAAGTTGTTTCTGTCCTTTAAGTAGGATTCAAACCAATTTAGAACTGTTTCCGAAAGTCCCACCCAGTTTTCCAGTCGGTCTAGTAATATGTTGTGGTCAACAGTGTCAAACGCAGCACTGAGATCTAATAATACTAACACTGAAGTTCTGCCACTGTCTGTGTTTAAGTGGATGTCATTAAAGACCTTCACAAGAGCAGTCTCAGTGCTGTGGTTTGGACGAAAGCCTGACTGGAACACATCAAAACAGTTATTTAAATGCAAGAAATTACTCAACTGTTGAAAAACAACTTTTTCAATGATTTTACCTAGAAATGGGAGGTTTGATATGGGCCTGTAATTGTTCATTACTGAAGCATCTAGATTATTCTTTTTTAAGAGCGGTTTAATGACTGCAGTTTTCAGGGCCTGTGGAAAAATACCTGAGTGAAGAGATGTGTTTACTATATGAAGTAGATCTGAGGCCATGCAAGGAAAAACATCTTTGAAAAATCCTGTTGGAATAATATCAAGGCAGCAGGAGGAGGATTTCAGAAGTTGAATAATGTCCTCTAGGTTTTTATCATTAATCTGATGGAATTGTGTCATGGTGTCTGAATTGATGTTAGGTGGACATAAGGACAACACATTTGCTGTACCTGACTGCTTGTCTGATTTTCAAATACATTTTTCTGGTATCAGTACTTTACTCCACTACTTATTTTTCTGACGACTTCTTACATTTTGAACTCAAATATCTGTACTTTCTACTTCTTACATGTTGAACTCAAATACCTGTACTTTCTACTTCTTACATGTTGAACACAAATACCTGTACTTTCTACTTCTCACATGTTGAACACAAATACCTGTACTTTCTACTTCTTACATGTTGAACTCAAATACCTGTACTTTCTACTTCTTACATGTTGAACTCAAATACCTGTACTTTCTACTTCTTACATGTTGAACTCAAATACCTGTACTTTCTACTTCTTACATGTTGAACCCAAATACCTGTACTTTCTACTTCTTACATGTTGAACACAAATACCTGTACTTTCTACTTCTTACATGTTGAACTCAAATACCTGTACTTTCTACTTCTTACATGTTGAACACAATTACCTGTACTTTCTACTTCTTACATGTTGAACACAATTACCTGTACTTTCTACTTCTTACATGTTGAACTCAAATACCTGTACTTTCTACTTCTTACATGTTGAACTCAAATACCTGTACTTTCTACTTCTCTCATTTTCCAAACAGCTGGTTCCTTTAGTCTGAATGTGTGTTTGATGCGTGATCATTATTATTTAGAGTCATTGCGTGCCTATTGATTTGAACACGATCCGTGTATCCATCATTTCCTGGTCTTCTCTAAAGAAGAGGGACCAATGGAAACGTTGTCATGTTGCCGTTGTTCAGCATGGAAACATTCATTAGCTAACAATGACATTATTGTTCTATTAATATAAAGGGAGGTCAGGTACTCTTTAAAACAGCTGCTAGTTATGGGTACTTTTTACTGAAGTACACTTCAAAGCCTTTACTTTTACTTGAGGAAAGAAGTTTAGTCAGTACTTCTACTTTTACCAGAGTATTTTTAAACACGAGTATCTGTACTTCTACTTGAGTTAAGGATGTGTGTACTTTTGCCATCTCTGCTGATTTGCAAAGATCATGTGAAAGCAGGTCATGATATAAGTATGAGTATCGGGATAGAAGACATTAAAAAACCCATGGATTGCAGAGAACTATTCTTTCTCTAGGTTCAGAAATAACAGCAGTGACCAGAGGATTCCTCTTTCAAGGACAATGCAGCAGTGAGAGTGGGAACCCTGGTGCTGATAACCAGCCCCTCCATCTGGAAATCATGTTGAACAATCAGAGGATAGGATCCCTGCTGTGTCTCCCCCGCTGAACTGCAGAGGAGTCCACATCAGAGCTGCAATCAGAGTGCTTTTGTGCAGAGTCTGGTCCTCTTTTGTTTTTAAAGGATGACGTTACTCGACGACCCACGAAAGGCTCGCCCAGCAGCAGCAGCCCTTTATCCTCTGAAGCCAAAGAGAGGAGCAGCAAACGGCCCAACCATCGAGGTTAATTTAATCTGAAAAGGGTGCTTTTGTTCTGAAATTAGATATGCGCCGTTTCAGAGCAGCAGCTACTCTCGAGAACAAAAACGGGTTGGTTTGTGAGAGACAGACGGTGAAATGCTGACCCAGTGTTTCACAAAGGGATAACAATACAGCACAATGTTTCACACAACGCGAGAGCAAGTTCAGATAATGCTTTTTCTCTCCAATGATTATTTAACATCATTAGAAATGGACTGTTTAATCCTTTCAGTTAGTTTTTTGTAAGCGTGATTACAACTTCAACCTTGGAGCCAAACGAATGGACACTGTTTAAACTGTTTGTTTTTGTTTACTGACTTCTGTTGTATTTTGAAGATTGCAAAATACAATTAAAGTTAAAAGTTAAGTTAAAAACTTTTATTGTCATTATACACAGAGTATAACGAGATTCAGAGTGCAACTATGTCCCGGTGTGCAAAAAATACAAACAAATACATAACACTAAAAAACACGGCAATAGGACAGACAATCATACGGGGGAATAAATAGTAAAAATATTGATATAAAAATAGTATATAAAGTGCATTAAAAGTGTGTGCTAAAGATACGAAAGCGGGAATAAGGAGTACATGGTATTTATTAGTTTATTTTAGCTTTCTACCATGGTCATGCATTGGTGGATAATCTTCAAATGTCACTTTGTTTATGTTCGCACCAACAGATACCAAAGCCAATTCCTTGTATGTGTAAACGCACCTGGACATAAACCTGATTCTGAATCTGATGTGTGTTTATATTCGCATCACTTTTGAAACGGCAGCGCGATTCTCCAGACGGAAATGTTTTTGACCGTTGTAGCGTGACAGACCCTGTAGCCACCGTACTGTCTTATCTAAAAACCTGAATTGTAGCTCACAGAAAACACTTCAAACAAAAGCCAGAACACACAGAGGATCAATCAAAGAGAACGATCAAAACACAACGCGCAGATTCTGAAAGATGTATGTGTTCTCCTGATCCGTACGGAGACACGTCTTCATCGATTACGTGATTTCCTCCTAGATGAAACCCCCAGGCTCAAAGCTGCCTGTGACACTCTGGGGCTGGGAGAAACTTGTTTAACAGTTTCTCTCTCCTGTCAATTATCAGAGGGTTATCTGCAGTGCAGCGCCGCCAGGGTCGCTAAGGACAACGGGAGAATTCAGTATCACGAATTCTCTGAGGAAGACTCGACAGGAAGAAACAAAACAAGTTTGTCCTTGGCCGACATCAAAGGGAGAGACGCTACAGGAATGAGAGATAAAGAAAGATAGAGATTCAGAGTCAGCACACACACACAGTCTCACCATGTTGTTGCCTTACTTGTGGGGAGGGGGGACTCCTGAGACATGAAGAAATTTCACAGTCTGGTGAGCACACATCGCTTCATCATCCCTGCAAGCTCACTCCTCTTAAATCACACACACATGAGGACCTCCATTTTGTCCCCATAAGGGAGGCGAGTCCCCACACGTGACTGTCTAGACAGATGTAGGTCCCCAAAAGTATAGTAATACACACACACACACACACAGCCATCTGAAAGCTGCCATCAGACATCTGGTCACATTTGTGATGTTGTTTACGTCTTTCATGATCACATGATTACTCATTTCGATCAGTATTTTTTTCGACAAAGTTCTTGATTTGCTAACGGTTTTTAAACATATTACATTTTTGGGAAAGTTGGCTTATTTTCTTCAGTAGAAACAAAAAGAAAAAGTATAAAAATACTCGTGTTTAAATGCAAATACTTTCTTTTTAAATTTCTTCCTTCAGCTGTCCCTTAAATCCCCCAATTTTACAAAAGGTGGTACAGTCTTAGGCTGCAGCCACACGAGGACAAAAACGTCTAAACGCATAGGATTAACGCAAACGCAATCGCAAACAAGCTTCCATCCAAACGCAATAGTTATCCGGATAGTGTCTGTCCACACGAGACCGCTCCGTTTAGCTCCAACCGCTGGAGAAGCTGCAGTACATATGCAGGAGCGTGGCGTGGCGCTGTAACTTCCTCCACAAAAGCAGCGAAGAAGCATGGTTGCCCTTCTGTTTATTCTCCGCGGTGGGGGCCGAGGGAACCGGGCAGAGTTTTTCGCCAGTCAACGTGTATTAAAGTTTAAATCTTCCGACAAAATTATAAAAGTGCCGGTCAAAGGTCTTCTTTGTTATTTATTGAGCTTTAAAACAAATGAATAACGAATCTATATATTATAATAATAAAATACATGGAGCCTCTCTTTTTCCTCCCTCTCTTCGGACAGCGCCAGTGTCTGTTTCATGCAGCAGCTGATCCAGTAATGAGTGACCCAACAGTAAAAATAAACATATTTATAACTAGTTTAGGTAGTTTGAGAGGTGTCTCCGTCCTGTCAGATTAGACTTCACTCGCGTTTATGTCCATATCGAGAGAAAGATAAATAATCTGAATTCAGTGTGCAGTTTACTTTGACGCGGGGGTGAGCAGCACAGGTGGGGAGAGGCGGGGCTATTGCGCAATCATTATCAGAAAATGATCGCTGAAGCTGCAGTACATATCCACAAAAGCAGCGAGTAAGATCCCCCCGGATGTGTAAGTCTGCTGTAGATGTTGCACAAAGAACTGTAGCATGGTCAGTAGCGTCCGGAGCACGATAGCAACTCTGCGATCCGCCATTGTTGTTGTTGTTGGTGGCGAAACACATCAGCAATGGCGCGGGGTACGCGGAGGTGAGCAGCAGAGGTGGGGAGAGGCGGGGCTATTGCGCAATCATTATCAGAAAATGATCGTATAGGGCGCACACACGGAGCTGTTTGACCCCCCAGAGCGTTGCGTATGCCGTTCTATCCACCTTGGGACCCGTTATCGTTTCCTCAGTCGTTTAGTGCCGTATGCGGTCGTCCTCGTGTGGCCGAATGGTCTATATGACACTAAACAGTAACGCAAACGGACGTTTTTGTCCCCGTGTGGCTGCAGCCTTAATCATAAAAGAGAGGGAACTCTACAGCAATAATTACAACAATATTTAACACATTATTTTTTGAGAAGGTAAGACTGTAATGAGCTGTGTAACTCCTAACCTCTGTGTAGTTCAGCCCCTCCTTTGCTCAGGATTAAAGTACAGATGATACAGTAAAAGTATGGTTCATATATCGAGTCTCAGTAAAAATAGCACAAACAGCAATAATTACAACAATATGTAACAAGAAAAACCCCAAAATAGTGAGTAAAAATGGAAAAAGTAAGACCACATTGAGCTTTATGTGTGTTAGTACAAATAGCAAAAACACCATTGTGTATTTTGCGTAATTGCCAGATCTGGAATAAAGACAGTACTATAAATTCAAACTGCAGTTCCAGTCTCCACCTGAAGACCTCCAGTCATTAATACAGGTGTGTACATATATAATCCCCCCTCTTACCGTATGTGAGCAGGTAGAGGGGCTTCCCGTTGGTGTCCATGGTGGTGAGGCAGGGGGCTTTGGGGGAGATGGTGCCCCAGCGCTGCAGCGCCGCCTCCAGGGAGGGGGGCCAGTTGGTGACGACCCCCAGCTGCTCGCCCTGCAGCGCCTCCATCTGAGCCCCCTCCGCTTTGGGCTGGTTGGGGTCCGGCTGCTGCACTGAAGACGGAAAACACGGGAGTTTGTACAATTTAAAGATGGCGCCGGTGATGATGGCTGCCGTGTCTTTGGCTCCCCTCCTAACCGTTTCATCCCACAGGCCATACGACTGTTAAACACCGGAACTTTTGAAACAACATCCGTAACATTCATCTGTTTGCAACTCATATCAATATTCCAATTACTTGTATATAGACTATTCTGCACTACGTTATCTGTTTTATTGGGTTGCACTGTTGGATTTTCATTGACATATCTACACTGTAGCTACACTATGGACACATGACCATAAAAGACTTGAATCTTAAGTTTATTGGACACAGGACTGTTGGAGGAGAACCATGAGAGGAGTTTAGATACTTCGGTATTATACTCGTCCCATTGTGTCATTTGCACGTCTTTCTTTTGCTTTGAGTATCTTGGACTGTTGGAGGACTTTAGATTTTCAGAACAAAACCTCTGTTGATTTTTAAGGCAAAAAAACCTTTGAATCTTTGAGAGTTTTTACATTTCAGACTTGTTGATGTGTTGATTTTCTGACGACTTAAGCCAACCAGCTTATTCCAGGGTGTATATTGAAATGCAAAAACACGTTCTATATATTTGAGTGAGTTGTTATAAGAACGTATTAACCATAGCATACCTTTCATTCGTAGGCATAATCAGTTTCACAAATGCTCTCCTCCCAGTTAAGTCATGAATAATAAAAATGTCAGATGTGGAGATCATTATCCAGTATTTCTACATATCTAAAATATCGGAGTACTTCCTCCAACAGTCAATAATCAATCACCTAACGACATGGTGCATCAGACTTTTACGCTTTTTTGTTTTACCTTCAAGGAGTTCCTCGAAGTCGTCGACAAAAAACTCTCTTAATGGCGGTCGCTTCGGTCGCTTCAGAGTGTTGACGAGCTGCTGGATCTTAGCTGAGACCCTGCTGCTGACGGGAACACCTGCACACACACACACACACACACACACACACACGATCAGACTCCTAATTGAGCTTTCCCAGGTGTTGAAGTATCCGTCACTTTCCTCCTGATTGGATCGTTTTCATCCACAAGTTTTAAATCTACATTAAAGTGTCACGTTTCTCTTCCAATGAGCAATTATAACGGAGCCGACTGCTGAACATGACACCGAGGTAGCGGAGGAGAGGAGGCACACTTTGCTCTTTCATTAGGGCTGATTTCACTTCAGAGGGATGGAGGTATGAGAGGCAGAGAGAAGTTTAAGCAGGTAAAGGAAAAGCTCGCTGAGTTTAAGATGAAACTGAGGGTTTGTAAAAAGTCCATAAAGAAAAGTCGGGGTAATTTAAAACTCTGTAAACGCACGTTTGCCGTGGCCAGCAGCAGCTCGTTAGCATTCAAAGCTACAGACACAGCATCAGCGACAATCATCTGTTTGGTACTTCAGCCAATCAGAGACAGGCTCTGGATATATCTGAGACCTGTGATATATTGATGAAAAACAGTATGATAGGGGACCTTTAACATCATCACACTTTCTGCTGCCTCTTCTCCCTTTATAGGAAGAAATATGGAACTATAACCAAGCACACTCAGTCATCTCTGAAGAGTCTCATATCTACACTAAGAGGATGATCAGTTAGTCGTAACAGGACTGATGCTTTGATCAGACATGAATAGACTCATGCAGGCCCACCTTGTTACGAACACCTGTTCAAAAGTGAGACTGTCTGATTGTAGGAGCCATTTTATGGGTGTTGTTGGCATGTCAGTTTATTTATATTTATAGTGCATTATTAGTTTTGAACACTTGGTGGTGGGGGTTAGCTGCACCGGGTGTTTAAAAGGGGTCATAGGTGAGCGGAAGAGAGAGGACACAGGAGGAAGAGCACACCGATCTATAGATGCTCACAGATACCACAACCATTGACAGAATCATTCAACCTTGGTCATGTAAACTCGAAAATAAACATCATTCTAAGCTGCACCAAAGGAGCGGAAAGCATCTGCGTCTGGATCACTCATAATCCTGTGAAGTAATGGCACGACGAATATAGGATAGTGGAACAACAAAGTTGCCATTACACTGATAACTATATATGAATGGGTCCCCAGCCGCGACTCACCGTCTCCGGTCTCCATCAGCTCGGCGTTCCCGTACTTGGGCGTCTGTCTCTGTCCCGGCGCTCGCTCCACCTGGATCCCATCGCTGGACGAGTTGTTGGTGTAGCCGGTGACATCTGGAGGAGCAGAGTGGTTCTCTGGGGAAGAGAAAAAGGACATTGTTTGTATTCTACCATTTCAACAATTAATGTGTAGAAGCGGAGGCAGAAAGCAACGCTTATACGGAGTAGGCTCTCCTGTTAGTCATCCAGTTGCAGGATAAAGAGAAAAAAGATAATTCCGTAATTAAATACGCACACAGATAAACAAAATTATATATATACATACACATACATATGTACACATACACCCATTTTCTATTTTTATGTAAACTACATGATAATTAAGATAGTCATTAGAATTATTATAGTATTTATAATTATAATTATTATCATTATTGTTATTATCATATATCCATATAATCACTTTTTAAATCTATTTTTAAATTAATCCAAAGGCACAATGACCGGGAAAACTACTACTTTTACTCAAGTACAAAAAGAGTACTTATACGTTTACTCAAGTACAAGATCTGAGTGCTTCTACTTTTACTAAAGTACACGATCTGAGTACTTCTACTTTTACTCAAGCACCAGATCAGAGTACTTCTACTTTTACTCAAGCACCAGATCTGAGTACTTCTACTTTTACTCAAGCACCAGATCAGAGTACTTCTACTTTTACTCAAGCACCAGATCAGAGTACTTCTACTTTTACTCAAGCACCAGATCACCAGATCAGAGTACTTCTACTTTTACTCAAGCACCAGATCAGAGTACTTCTACTTTTACTCAAGTACAAGATCTGAGTACTTCTACTTTTACTCAAGCACCAGATCAGAGTACTTCTACTTTTACTCAAGCACCAGATCAGAGTACTTCTACTTTTACTCAAGCACCAGATCAGAGTACTTCTACTTTTACTCAAGTACAAGATCTGAGTACTTCTACTTTTACTCAAGCACCAGATCAGAGTACTTCTACTTTTACTCAAGCACCAGATCAGAGTACTTCTTCCACCTCTGTCTATAATTGATGTTGGGATTCGGTGATTGGAAACACGAACGTTCAGATGAACCAGCAGAACCAGCACTCACAAACTGCCACGCTTGAATTGATCTGAAACCAAAACCCAGACTGTATTTCCATCAACACACACCTTCCCTAACACATGGTGTTAAGGTTGTCTCTCCACATTACTTGGTGCTGCTTTCAGATTGTGTTTCAGTCTGATGTTTCAAAGCTCTAACCATGCCTCAAATTCCTCTTTAAAAGGGACTCGGTGTTAGACAACATCAAACAGTGTTTACTGCCCGAGGGAGTCTTTACTTTGAGTGGTCAGAGCATGAAAGCATGTGTGTGTTGAATCTAAAAAGGGACGTGTGTGTGTGTAGACTGATCTAATGTTTACTCTCCATTTGCACCCAGTCTCAATCAATTCAGTCTCAATAGATGTTAGCATGCAAACATTGATCCTATATTGCAGAGTTATTAGTTTCTCTACCGTGGATAAGAGTTGGATTTACCAGCTTTGAGATATTTCTGTTCAGGTTTGGATATTCAAACAAATACTGTAACTCCTAAAGGATGGAAAACACCTTTAAATGGAAAATATGACTTTTTATTTTCCATCAGAATTGGTATAGAGGATACGCTTGAAAACCAGCCATAAATACAAATCTGAAAATACAAGGAACTCCAATATCTCTCAGTCATAGAGTTATTCTGAGATATTGTATTCCATGCTTTGCTTACTGGGAATTATCTCACGTTAAATCTTTATATGCAAGTTGTTTGGCTCCACTAAATTAAACATGTTGAGTATTCAGAGTAACAGATCCCACAAACTACCAACGATAGAACAAAGCTCTGATCTCTCAGTCTCCCAGTTACTTAATATTTCATCACTGCTTGTTCTCTCTGGGAGAAATACATACAGTATCATATTTCCTTTGTGCCGGCTTTGACTTGTACGTAAAATACGTTTTTTTTAAGCCTTATTCACATTTTAGGAATGCTACTTTCATTCCCATCTACTAGACTAAGGTTAGTTATATTGTTACTTAAAATAGCAACCATCCAACCCTTACCCCAGTTAATCTCAGCTCTGCGGCATTAAGAGGACATATTGGGCTGATTTTCAGGTTCATTTTAGTATCTGATTGGTTAGCTGGCCGGCTCTGATGTGATTGGACAACCACTTAGAGATGTCCCGCCCCTTAGCCTATCACGTACAATGTGATGAAACACAGGGATTTCAGCCTTTGCAGCCCATTTACAAAAACCGATGGGAACACCCTAAAAAGCTCAATAGGGCCTCTTTAATTTTCCTAATAGTCATGTTTGTTATCTGCATTTTTTCTTTCTATAACTCTATAACTTATAGGGGAAAAGTAAAGACGATGATATATGCACATATTTTCCATCCTTAAAGGTGGGGTAGGTACGTTTGAGAAACCGGCTCGAGATACACTTGTTATATTCCATGGAATGCTCTTAACATCCCGATAGCAATGAATATCTGAAGTGCTTTCAAACAAATCCATAAAAAAAAGTCATCAGTGGAAGCCGTAGTACTGTGAAAAGCACGACCAATCATCTGAGCCGGCCCGGCTAAAGTAACTGGATGGCCTACCTGCCTGTCAGCCTTCCATCTGGGCACACACTTATCTCGTGCCCTCATTGGTCATGTGCGCGTTCGTGTGTGTTGGAGGAGGGGCTCTGTGAGGAAGTGGCAGATTTGTTCCGGTTGTGTATTTTCTAATTCTAGTGCACTCGAGCTGGTTTCTCCAAAATGACCGACCCCACCTTTAACTTACGGTTTTATATCTACTGCTTAATTTTCTCTGATTTGCACTCTTTGTCATCTGCATTTATTCTGTATATAGCATTATAAATACTAATGCAACATACTTACAGAGATGTTGTGGAAAGTTTTGACATCTTTTATGCATGTCATGTCTTTTCCAATTCATTGATATCAAAAACCAATGACTAACAATGACCTGAATATGATCTGAAAGACTGAGGCAAGAAACTTAAGGTTTTCTATCTACTGCTTAACTTTCTCTGATTTGGTGTTGAATCCAAAAATGTTGTAAAAAGTTTTGACATCTTTTATGCACGTCATGTCTTTTTCGATTCATTCATAGCAAGGCTGACTAACAATGACCTGAATATGATTTGAGAAGCTGAGACAACCTCAGAAAAAAGAGATATTGTGAAGTGGAAGGATGAGAAAACAAGGGAGGTTAGAAAGTGAAAGTGATTCCCAGCGAAGCACTGAGCCAAAGCCAGCCGAGACCAACCCGAATCCTTCATGCAGACATTGAGTGAATATCAATACTGCAGCGCACGGACCAGGCATGCTAATTACTGAAGCTAGCAGAACGTCCTGTCTCTGCAACATCTGTCCGTTTGAGCCACACTGAACCAGACAGGAAGTTGACATCTTTTTGGGAGAGTGTGTGTGCATGCACGAGTATCCAGTGACCTCATCAGAGTGGGTTTATGATGATTTGTGACGGGGAGGAAGATGAATGCCTCCTTCGCTGCTGGAATACAAATCAGTCGGGATGATGGAGCAGATTCAGAATCAGGGACTTTTATCTCTGGGTCAAGGAGGGTTTGAAGTCGTTGACGGTTAGGACATTATTTGTGTGACCTACGTTTTTCATTGTCATGTCTAAACTGTAGCTAATACAGTACACATGACAATAAAGCCTTGCATTTAATTGTATTTCATTGATTTGCCTGTCTGGAGGTAGAGGTTGGCGAGACTGGTGATTATTTATTTTGTTTTCTTTTATATTACTCTGTATTTCTTCCGGTAAACTAATTGAACAGTGTCAGAAAAAAGAAATAAACTCCTGATTCCTGGATGAATGTGTCTTTATCTGCCGCCGCTTCTTCGATGTAGGTAAAGAGATGAGAAGGGAGAGTCTTTTTACTCTATCGACTTCGATCATCACATTACATTTTTACAATACCTTTCATTTAGTTAACGCTTCTTTCCAAAGGCCAATAAACCAAAAAGAGACAAACTTAAAACACCTGCAGGATAGCCATACTGTAATTGTGGTGCATTATTGTCAAATGTCCTTAATGTTTTACTTTTGTTTGGTTTTGGCCAAAGTGCAGGTGGGGTTTTTCCGTCTGCAAAGGAAGATTTAGACTTCCTGCCATCCCGATGTAAATTGGGAGCTCGTTCGTCTATTTTGGAGCCAAGATAGCAATCAGCAAATCACTGTTAGAGATTGAACTCAACAACTCAGTTTTTACCTGCTGCTGATCTCTAGTGCCCAAATCGTACTCGCAACTCTCCACAGAGACGTTTTACTTGCCTGACTAATCTTTTTGATTTAGTTAAATCTCGTCTTAAAATCTGACTATAACCAAAACATCTCAAGAGAAACAGGTCATCATTTATGAAACTACCGCAAGAAAGAGACAGCTCATATAAGAAGAAAACCTTGATCAATTCTGCATCTCTTTCCTGATGACCCTGCAGTGAAACCCTCCCTCCCGTCTGACACACCTGATGAATAGTATCCAGGAAGCTGCTCACTCCTCAGAGAGTCAGAGTAATCCCCTGACAGATATACAGCTCTGACAGACGGGAAGATCAACTGCACTGCAATCCACACTGCAGCCTTAATTACATTTAACATGGGAACGCTTCCAGAACGCTGGTAATGGACGCAGGGTCTGGCAGTGATGAATGTCTGATTAAAAGGTCTAGCATTCAGCTCAATGTTCACCCCAGTGAGGATTTATATTGAGTGATACAGAGAGGAAGTTAGCATCACAAGGGCTTAGTTAACAAAAGGCCAATGGGATTATTCCATTAGATTCTATTATACTGCAGAAAAAGCAATCAGAAGAAGTAAAGAGCTAACGTTAGGATACAAAGGAACTACAGCATGGTCACATGACTTCACGTCACTACCGCTAAGCTAAAGACGGCTAATGTTGGGCTATAAAGGAACTACAGCACGGTCACATGACTTCACGTCACCACCGCTAAGCTAAAGACGGCTAATGTTGGGCTATAAAGGAACTACAGCACGGTCACATGACTTCACGTCACTTCAAGGAGA